CCGGCTGGCTGTAGCCCGGCGGACTAAAGCAGGTTTCTGGGGTTTTGTTTAGCTTCTATATTTGTTACATAGTTGCTTAGAGTTGCAGCTCAGAGGCATGCAGCGGCAGGCGGGGAATGTTGGAGTCCTCCGTCACTGAAGCAAGCAAGCCTCATGTTAGTTTCAAGCTGCCTGGCTGCCCGCCGCCATCTTGGCTGGTAGTTAATTTGCATATTGCCCTGATTAGCCAATGGGAAGGGTAGTGGTCGTACGCCAATTACCATGTTTCTCTTTTATTAGATAGGATTTGTATACAAATGAGAGTGTTTTATAGGATGTTTTAGGGTTAGAATTATGTACATGTAAATATTCATAGATATTTAATTTTATTATAAGTGTAATCTATGTGTCAAAATTTTGTATGTTTATATGTTTGGTAGATATTTCCAAATTTCTCTGTAAAGAGGTGGTTCTACTTACATTTCCACCAGTATTGTATGAAAGTGATTGCTTCACGTAGCCAATATAATACACAATAAGATTTTTGTTTTTCTCTAATCTGACAGTTAAAAGCTGGAATCAGAGTATTATTAGAGACTCACTTGCTCTAAGGTTCAATATCTTCTAAAATGTTGGAAAGTCATTTGTATTTCATTTTCTGTGACTTACTGTTTTTGCCCCCCTTTTTTCTTTTGAGTTGTTGATATTTTCTTACTGATTTGTTGGAATTTTTATATGCATTGTAAATATTTTCTCCTGTTTGTTATTTGTAAGCAGGAGAAAGCATTTTCAGAGCAAGTGAAGTATTCTGAGGTATGCAAGAAGAATAGAAAGAACAGTGGGCTTTTTTTCTCCACTATGTTAGTTCTTTTCAAGCAGAAATTAAAAGTTGTAAAATTCCTTATTTTTTATGGTAAAATATTAAAGTAGTGTTAAGACCATCCTAATCTAAGATTGTGAAAATTTCTCCCATTTTCTTTGAGCAATTATAATGGTTTCATTTTGTATGTTGAAATCCCTTATCCATCCCTACTTTATTTTGTGAAAGATACGAAGTAGATGTATATTTTTCCCCAGGTGGCTACTCAGTTGTTCTGACATCATCATTGGACAATTCATCTTTTACCTACTGATTTAGAAGTATAGTTATATAATATCTTAAATTCCTGTTGGTATTTGAGTCCATTTTAGGACTCTGTTCTGCTCTACTGTTCTGTCTTTTCAGGTGTAATACCTTACTGCTTAATCAGTACACCTTTATAATATTGCTCCTTCTCTGTTGGGCTTACCTTCTCATTACTCACCTTCCTCAGAATATTCTTGACTATTATTGCAAGTTTATTATCCATATTAACTTTAGAATTAACTTTTTTCATTCCAAAAATTCCTGTTGATGTCTTTTTTTTTGGATAGTATGAAGTGGATATCTTTAATTTAACATTGAGTTTTACTATTCATCTGAATTTTAAGGTGCATTTCTTGAAATCAACAAAAGTATGAGGACAAGTATTTATATTCTCATTTTATAGAGGAAGCAGAGATCTGAGAGATTCCAAACATCCTTATTCCTCAATGTCACAAAAATGACAAGACTTGAAAAGGGTCTAGACTGGGTATTCTCCCTTAGACTCTTGATCTCTGTCATAGAACACTCAGTCTATCTGTCCCTTTATGGCAGGGAGAGGCAGGTTCTGGAGACCGGGGGGCACCTGTGGTGGCATGGAACTATGCTACTAGGTATACCGGTTAATAATGCAGATTTTGTAATCAAAGAAAACACGATAATTTCAATAGAAACATCAAAAGTGCTTTATTAAAAGTAATGTCCATTGCTAGCTACACATTTCCCCATCTTTCAGGTAATTTGTGGATACGGTCCCAATAGAACTTTTCTTGTTTTGAGGCAAACCATTCAGAGACCCAATTTTCCACTTCTTCATACATTTTGAAGTGCTGCTCAGAAAGTGCGTGTGCCATTGATTGGAACAAGTGGTAATCTGAAGGCGCAAGTTCTGGTGAATAGGGCCGGTGGGTTAATACTTCCCAGGCAAGATCTTTTAACGTGTCTTTAACTGGTTTTGAAGTGTGTGATGGTGCATTATCATGAAGCAAAATTACTTTGCTGTGTCTTATGGCACATTCTGGTCGTGTTACAATTAAAGTGTGGTTCAAATTGATTATTTGTTGTCAGTAGCGATCAGTATTAATGGTTTCACCTGGTTTTAGAAGCGCATAATACACCACAACAGCGATTCTCAATCTGTGGGTCGCAACCCCTTTGGCGGTCAAACGACCCTTTCACAGGGGTCGCCTAAGACCATCCTGCATATCAGATATTTACATTACGATCCGTAACAGTAGCAACATTACAGTTATGAAGTAGCAATGAAAATAATTTTATGGTTGGGTCACAACATGAGGAACTGTATTTAAAGGGCCAGAAGGTTGAGAACCACTGCACCACACCTTCCTGATCCCACCAAATGCAGAGCATTATCTTCTTTCCAAAGCAGTTTGGCCTTGCAGTTGATGTGGATGGTTGAACTGGATCAACCCATGATTTTGTGCATTTGGGATTCTCAAAATAAAGACACTTTTCATCACCAGTCACAATTTTATGCAAAAAAGACTTTCTTTAGTGCTATTGGAGCAACATTTTACTGATGACTTTTCGGTTTTCCCTTTGTCTTTTGTTCAGTTGATGTGACACCCATTTTCCTTCCTTTAAAATCTTTCCCATTGCTTGTAAATGATTGGAAATTGTTTGCTGAGCAATGTTTAATCTTTCTGAAAGTTGTTTTTGAGTTTGACATGAATCTTCATCCAATAATACTTGTAACTGTTGGTCTTCAAACTTTTTTGGATGTCCTGGACGTTCTTTGTCTTTACATCAAAATCATCACTTTTAAAGTGTTTAAACCAGCTTCACCAGTATCTTGAGATGGAGAATGTTCACCATAAGCTTCCTGAAGTATATAACTTTTTCTTCAAAATAAAGTAATGAATTAAAACTTCCTGCAAATGCTCTTTTTTTTTTTTTGGCACGAAATTGACATTTTTAAGTGTAAAAATATCTATGATGTTAATACCTTCAGCAAATTTGACATATGAAGTTTTGAAGCTTGTTATTAATACAACAAAATGGCATATGTATCAAATCGCATATATATCAACATATGAGTAACTCCATCGATTGAGAAAAATCCTCATTATTAACTGGTACATCTAGTAAAGCATGGTGTAGTAAAGATAGCTTTAGGGTGGAGAAGACTCCAGTTCTCTCTTGACTTTGCTATTTCCTATCTATGAGATTTCTGGAAAATTATTCAAAAAAAACTCAGTTTCTTCAATAAATGGAGGGTGGTACAATTGAGAATGTACCCTATCCTATTTGGCACTTTGGAGGCACTCAATAAATGGTGGTTCTTCTTTTTGTTAGTTTTGTTTTTTTTTGTTTCCCCCTCCTTCAGAAATGTGAAATATTTTCCCATGTGACACTCTGATTTTTGGGATCACTTTGTAGCGTGATGTTTACCAGACTAATGAAATTTCCCCCCCACCACAGATAAAATTGCAGGCTGTAATAAGGGGAAAAATATTTGGCTCAGATAGGGGAAGGGCTCTGTGTAAGGTGGCACAGGGCCCTGCTCTCCCAGCTTTCCCTGTGCAGCTGCTGTATGGCTTTGGGCCTCTTGCATGCACTTTGGAGCACAGTCTGTCTTCATGGGAGGTTTCTCTCCACCCCTGCCTTTATTTTTAAGACTAATTTTTACTAGCAAATAGCTATTTAAAATGGATCTGCTTAGAATAGGGACCAAAACTTTATAATAAAGAGTGAAAAAAGGCTTAAATTGCTTATTTTTCTTGAAAAATGAAACTAAAAATTATAAAAATAATTCTTATTAAAATAAAATTAACATAATAATTATAATTATAAAAGATTGAACAAGAAAGTAATCAGGACACTATTGATTCATTTTGTAGACAATTTTTCCAAGACAATTCTATATTATATTTATTTCCCATTTTTTCATCACAGCAAAAATTTGAGGGTTTCATCAGTTTTCCTAATATTCTCTCTTAATCAGGTGGTATTTCAATAACTCTTTTCTTTGCTGTATCCAGCTGTTATCATCCTGCTGATTTTCTGTTTTTTCAATTGCAAGGGCTTCTGTCTCTGCTGAATCACCATTTGTCAATGGCTTTGCTCATAATTCTAGCAGTTCTCACCCATAAGTTTTGTTGACTTTATGAATTCATTCATCTTTTGCAAGCCTGGCAATTTCACTTTGCAGTTGTTGTACATTGAATTTGTACTGATTTTTATAAAGTTTGTGACATCTGGTATTGTGAATAATTCCCTCACCCTACCTCATGACGTTCATATCCTAATCTGTGGAATTTGTTGAATGTTACCTCATATGACAAAAGGGACTTTGTTGATACAATTAAGTTAAGGCTCATGAGATCTTACCCTGGATTATTAGGGTAGGAATGATGTAATCACAAAGGTCTTTATAAGAAGAAGGCAGGAGATCAGCGTGAGTGGTAAATATGATGATGGAAGCAAATATTGGAGTGATGCAGCCACCAACCAAGGAAAGCCTGCTGCCTCTGGAAGTAAGAAAAGACAAGGAATGGATTCTGTTTGGGAACCTGCAGAAGGCACAAGCCCTGCCAACACCTTAATATTGGCCCCTCAAGACTTATTTCAAATTCTGACCGCCAGAACTGTAACAGGGTAAATTTGTGGTGTTTTAAGGCACTTAGGGTGTAGTAATATGAAATGAAAACAGCCAGATGCTAACCAAAATGCTTACCTCAGAGAGCACAGGATTGGATAGATGAGTTTGTGAAGAGTGTGGAATAAACAAAATCAGTTCATTAGTGAATATTTTAATGACTTTAGCTTCTCCATATAGCCTATAACTGTGGTATATAAGTGTCTGTGCCAGTGTGTGTTTGTACAAGAAAGAAATGAATATTCAAAAGGCAATTTATATAAACCCTTTCCTCTTCAGTCTTACCAGGAGCTAGAATTCTTCCCTGCAGAGCCACTGGATTCAGTTGGGGACATGGTTGGAGTTTAAAACTGAAGAAGCCCCGGAGGATTGATGACCAATCATAAGGGCCGGAAACACTCTGAGGAAAGATGCCGACAGGTTGCTGAGAAGTAGAGCTTTCTGATGCTCGAGTATTTTAAGAGACAGAAATGGGAACAGGGGCCACTGTGCCAAGAAGAAGGACTTGGGGGACAAAGGTGAATAGAGAAAGTGTAACTGTGTGTTGTGTATTGTAATTTATACCTCTTGCTCCCCAACTAGCCCCCTTGGTGAAAATCTTCAGTAGCCATCCAGAGTTAGGCTTTTGCTTGTCTGTTTTTAAAAAATAGATCTGTAGTGAGGCTTGTTTTAAAGCAGGACGAGGCACTTTATTTGGACTGCATGTTCTCAAAATAAATGATTAACATTTCTTCCCAGAGGCTTCTAAGCCAGGTCTCTCTGACCTATGGTGTGCTAGGCTGGGATCAAAACGTCGACAGCTTTCTGACCTTTAGCATTTCGGGAAAACCCTCTAACTGATTATCTTTTTAGAGGTGCCTTATGGCAACTGGTGCCTTCTGAGCAGCTGCTGTTGTGGTTGAGGCCTCCAGGAAAGAAGCCTCTCTAACCTTGGCTTCATGCTTCTGTTTCTCATTTTCTCTGCTTTTTCTGAACTTTTAACAGCCAAACATCTGTCATGTTGGAATTCCTTTCTTTGGCTGCAGTTTCCTCGGCCTATCTTGTAACTGACAGTTTTGGATGGATATTCATCTCGGGGGCAGCTCCCATACCGTTTTGATGATTGCAGTGTGGGAATTTGAGAGTAAAGTCGGTGAACTGTGTACATTTGCACACAAGAGCCCACATCCTCATGCCACTTCATACATCATCAACCAAAGTCCAGTTCTGATCATTAACAATCATGATTACAACCAGATTCCTAGGACGTGGCCCAGAGGAAATGCAGACTACTCTGCCAGTCCCCTAATCATGCTCTGTGACCCTCAGCCTGAAGCACTTGGAGGCTTCTGGGCAGTTTCAATTAGATATCTAGTCTTTTCTGTGCCCTCTCTCCTAGCCCCAGAGAGAAGCAAGGGCAGTTTTCAGTGTTGAAATAGCTACCTACGTTATTTGGCTTATGGGTGCTGCATGAAACTCCCCTAAATGGTGCTATGAGATTGAAGTCTTTTAGTTTAAGTTTAGCTGAATGATTAACAGTTGGTCAGAGAGGTCATTTGGGGGCACAGCTTACTGAGAATGCCACTGCAGAGCTGCATGTGTTCATGCTTACCATTCTCAGCAGTGACTCCCTCATGGGAAAGAGCGGCTCTGTCCACGTATTTATAACCTGAACTGATGAATTCGGAGAGAACATAATAGGATTTACTTTCCTTTAGGCTCTGAAAACCCTGCATTTCAGTGACCATATGGTCTATCTTGTCTTGCCAGTGCTTCATGATACATGGCTGAGTCCAAAGAGTCAGGGCCTCCAACTGACTGGTGTAATTGACATGGCTGTGGCTAATAGATGTGTCTTCTGGCTCTGGGGGTACAATTAAGTGATTATTGAGGAGAATCAATGGCCCTTGGAAGTGCAAAATAAGGAAAGGAGTTCTTAGTACAAATGAGAAGCAAACACTGTGACTTTTGACTAAGGTGAAACAAATGGACAGGCCTGTTATCTGTTCTTTTTTTCTTTCTGTAGATTTGGTGAGCAGAAAGAACCTGTTATAGACAGAATCATTTACTAAACAAAATTGAAAATTCTTACATAAAAATCTATGTTTTGCTTGGTGGCTTGGCAAGCTAGGATTATTTTGACAGAAAATAAATAGCAAGGCGATATGTAAGATGTGAGAGCAAAAAATTTAGATCAGCCTATGTGTTATTCCGTGAAAAGATCCAATCAGTTTTACTCCCTTTGCCAGAGGAAGACGGTATTGGCCATATTGGATAAGGCTCACATGTTGCTCTCCAATCAAGAAGTAAATAGTATCAAAGCCTACAAATTGAATTTTTATTAAGAACTTCATCTCTGGTTACCCTGGGGTTTATGAAATCTTTTAGCGCTTGTGGAGGAAGGCAGTATATCTCAATGTACAAAACCAGATTGATTGGAGTGAGAAATTTTAATTTTTAGGGTCAGGAATACACCTCACCTTTTAAAACAGGCTTAATGAGAAGGGAGCAGACAGATGTTGCTTTAAAAGCCATTCTAATTCTTCTTGTGTCATACTTTATCTGTTACTACTTTGCTGCTAGTTTCATGTACTTTACAAATTGGGATTAATGGCTTTTTTTGCATAAGAGTTTCATAAATTGAGTAAATAAATAAATCCTTCTCTATCATGACTTTCTGTGTACTTAACATCTATATATTCATTATTTTGTGCATTCAGAAGATGTCAGTACTAAATTTATATTTCCTGTACAGGGCTTGTTTAATTAGAAAATATAAGTGGCAGTGCTTAACATAACGTTTTTCAAAGATGAACAAGTGGAAATGTTTATTCTGCCCTTGTACTGTCCATCTTGTACTGATTCTTTTCTATAAGAACAAGTGATAATAATAGCAGCTATTATTAATCTGTATTGAAAATTTGCTGTGAGAGGTATTTTGCATGTAGGTTCTCATTTAAGAAAGGTAATAGTACTCTCATTTTATGGCAAAGGAAACTGAAGCCCAGAGAATTTGAGAACTTGCCAGTATAATGAAGGATTGTAAGTATCAGATTCAAATTTTGAACCTGGACTGTCTCTGTTTTGAAAGCCTAGTTTCCGATCTTTTTTTTTTTTTTTTTTTTTTTGAGAACAAAACCACTCTGCGATCTTGCCTGGTGACTCCTTCTCTGATTTCTGCCAGGTACAGAGGCCTGTGGCCTGGTGCATTGTTGAGGTAAAATTTTCTGATATGGCATCAGGATAAGCTGGATTTTTCCGTGATAGAAATGATCCCCAAAACTCAGTGGCTGAAAACAGCAAAGATTTATTTTCCATCAATACTTGGCCCCCTGTGTCCATCTTTGGCTCATTTGATTCATGATTTCTTCACTCAGAGCCCAGGCTATTTAGAGGGACACTGTGATTGGACAAGGGAATGGGCCAGACAGTTGCTCTTAGATAGCCTTCTGACAGGAAGTGAGGTGTGCATTTCATTGGCCCAAGCGATTCACTTGGCCCCGCCTAATTTCACAGGGCAGGGGAAGTGGGTTCTTACCATGTTATTGGAAGGTGGGCAGCAGACAGTGTCAGTAATTATCCCAATACCACATGTGTTCAAAAGAAAACAATTGATTTTAAATACAAGTTAGTTTTAAAAAGTTCCAATACTTATTCGCTACAATTTTAAAAGTTCCTAGTTTGTTCTAGGGTTCAGAAAAAAATGCCTGTTCTAGAGATTGCTCTAACTCAGTCACGTACATTAATGACTTCCTTTTAGAAGAATTTAGTGGTGAACTATTTTGTCTCCCTAAAAAGGTACTATTTATAATGATATGTTTGTTAGCTGGATTTTAAGGAAGAGATAGAAGGATATTTAAAAGTAACCAGTATGGATATGTTGAGGAAATAATTTACAGGTTAAAAAAAAAAAATTCCACTTTATCTGAGCTTCCCCCCCAAGGGTTCCCATTTATATAATCCATAGCAGAATTTATACTTTTAATTCAAATAGGATAGATCATTTGGTACCTTCATCTGGGATTGTTTTTCTAAAAAAGGAAGGTGTATATTTACTCTCAAGTGTCAATTTAAACAAGCCCGTGAGGCAAATGATAGGAAGATTGGTTAGAGAAATTTCTCCAAGAGAGAGGACAATGTTCTTTGGGACTTGGTGGCAAGAGAAACCTTAGCTGTCTTAAGATGAAAATCTGTTCAGTGATTGCAATTAATAGCCTGTCAAATAAAAATAGAATGAAATCATGTGGAACTCTGTCTTGTAGTTTAGCTCAGAATTTGTGATTTTAACTTCGGCACTTAAATTTTGTGCTTTTTTCAACATTAGCTAAGCATAATAGCCCCATAATGGCATAATATAAGTTCAGGGTCTCTTAGCTTCTGCTTTGCAGTGCCCAGCAGTCCTCTTGTATGCTCTGTAAAAGATGCAAACACACAATCAAAATGATATTTTCCCTGAGGTTTCCTGCGGTGGACTGGATCTGCATTTTCTTGTGATTGTTTAGGAGAGACAGCTGTCAGTTAAGTCTTTCTCTTAAAGCTTTTCCCCTTAATTCTCTGTACTGTGGTTCTTGGCTTCTCTTTTGTCAGCCTCACTTAAGTAACCAGGATTGGGGCGGAGCGGTCTGTGCCCCTAATTGCTGAGTGGGATTTGGACTCCTACTCTAGAAAGCCCCTTTATCTCTGCAGCCTAGTGCCAGAATATCTTCCCACAGTTGTGATAAGGTTAGAGAATTCTCAGGCATCAGAACCTGTGGAATGAAGAGCTGAGATGACCTTTTGGGGTTAACATACTGCTTTTGTTTTGAGTTCACAACCTGGGAAATAACTAATGTTAATGTGTATAGACTTTTTCCTTTTACTTATTAGCCCCCACAATAAGCCTATGCATTTGATGAGTCACAGGTAATCATTACTGGTTTTTGTTATTTTCCCCTCCCTCATTCCATTGATAAGAAAATGGAGGCTCTGGGTTGTTGGCCAAGCCTAACAGCTAGAAAATGCTAGAATCCAGTTTTTCAGACTCCAAGTCCTGTGCTCTTCTCTTACTAGGTGTACTGGCTAATAATGGCAGATTTTGTAATAAAAGAAAACATGATAATTTCAAGAGAAACATCAAAAATGCTGTATTACAAGTAATGTCCATCACTAGCTACACATTTCCCCATCTTTCAGGTAATTTGTGGATACCGTCCCAATAGAACTTTTCTTGTTTTGAGGCAAACCATTCAGAGACCCAATTTTCCACTTCTTCGTACGTTTCGAAGTGCTGTTCGGAAAGTGCATGTGCCATCGATTGGAACAAGTGGTAATCTGAAGGAGCAAGGTCTTGTGAATACGGTGGGTGGATTAATACTTGCCAGGCAGGATCTTTTAATGTGTCTTTAACTTAGTTTTGAAGTGTGTGATGGTGCATTATTATGAAGCAAAATTACTTTGCCATGTCTTCTGGCACATCCTGGTCGTTTCACAAAGTGTGGTTCAAATTGATTATTTGTTGTCGGTAGCGACAAGTATTAATGGTTTACCTGGTTTTAGAAGCTCATAATACACCACACCTTCCTGATCCCACCAAATGCAGAACATTGTCTTCTTTCCGAAGCGATTTGGCTTTGCAGTCGATGTTGATGGTTGACCTGGATCAACCCATGATTTTGTGCATTTGGGATTCTCAAAATAAATCCATTTTCATGGCCAGTCACAATTCGATGCAAAAATAGATACTTTTTGAAGGAAGACAGAAGGAAGGCCAAGAGACATATGAAAACATACTCAAAGTCACTAATCATGCAAATCAAAACGACAATGCGGTACCATCTCACACCTGTCAGAATGCCTATCATCAACAAATCAACAAACCACAAGTGCTGGCGAGGTTGCGGAGAAAAAGGAACCCTGATGCACTGCTGGTGGGAATGCAGACTGGTGCAGCCACTGTGGAGAATAGTGTGGAGTTTCCTCAAAAAACTAAAAATGGAACTCCCATTTGACCCAGTGATCCCTCTTCTAGGAATATATCCCAAGAAACTAGAAACACCAATCAGAAAGGATATATGCACCCCCATGTTTATAGCAGCACAATTCACCATAGCTAAGATCTGGAAACAGCCAAAATGCCCATCAACAGATGAGTGGATTAGAAAACTGTGGTACATCTACACAAGGAAATACTATGCTGCAGTAAAAAAGAAGGGATTCTTACCATTTGTAAAAGCATGGATGGAACTGGAGAGCATTATGTTAAGTGAAATAAGCCAGTCAGAAAAAGATAAATATCACATGATCACTCATTTATGAAATATAATGAACAACATAAACTGATGAACAAAAACAGATCCAGAGATAGAGATGCATCGATCAGACTGTCAAACCTCAGAGGGAAGGTAGGGGAGGGTGGGGGTAAGGAGGGAGAGATCAACCAAAGGACTTGTATGCATGCATATAAGCCTAACCAATGGACACAGACACCCGGGGGGTGAGGGCATGAGTGAGGGGGTAAAGGGGGGATAAGGACACATATGTAATACCTTAATCAATAAAGAAATTTAAAAGAAAAAGTCTTTTGTGCCATTGAAGCAACATTTTACTGATGACTTTTCGGTTTTCCATTTGTCTTTCATTTAGTTGATGTGACACCCATTTTCCTTCCTTTAAAATCTTTCCCCTTGCTTGTAAACAATCGTAAATTGTTTGCTTGAGCAACATTTAATCTTTCTGCAAGTTGTTTTTGAGTTTGACATGCATCTTCATCCAATAATGCTTGTAATTGTTGGTCTTTAAACTTTTTTGGATGTCCTGGACGTTCTTTGTCTTTCACATCAAAATCATCACTTTTAAAGTTTTTTTTTAAACCAGCATTCACAAGTATCTTGAGATGGAGCATGTTCACCATAAGCTTCCCGAAGTATATAACTTTTTCTTCAAAATAAAGTAATGAATTAAAACTTCCTGCAAATGCTCTTTTTTTTTGCATGAAATTCAACATTTTTAAGCATAAAAAATCTATGATGTTAATACCTTCAGCTAATTTGACATATGAAGTTTTGAAGCTTGCTGTCAATACAACAAAATAGCATATGTATCAAATCGCATATACGTCAACATATGTGTAACTCATCTATTGAAAATCCACATTATTAACTGGCACACCTAGTATATGATGCTGACATTTCCTTGTTAGTAGTCCCACCATGAGGAATAGTAACATGGAAGCAAGAAGAATAGTCCAATATACTTCCTTCAGCGTTCCCATAGTTACCAGCAGTTATAGACCTGTGGGAAGTGCTGCTTGTGGATGGGGTCCCTCTTGTAATGTGATCTTCCACCCTATGCTGGCAAAGTAGCCCCCACTGTCTTTTTTAAAAAAATATATTGATTTTAGAGAGGAAGGGAGAGGGAGATAGAAACATCAGTGATGAGAGGGAATCATTGATTGGCTGCATCCTGCACGCCCCCCACTGGGGATCGAGCCCGCAACTCTAGCATGTGCCCTTGACCAGAATCGAACCTGGGACCCCTCAGTCTGCAGGCTGATGCTCTCTCCACTGAGCCAAACCAGCTAGGACGCCTGCACTTTCTTGTTGCTTGGCTTCCTCTGGATTTAATCTTGATCTCATGCAACATCTTTCAGCAGA